AATATAACGAAAAACTGCTATGCTTTACCAAACAAAAAAAAAAAAAAATGGAGGACATCGGCAGCTCCAACCGAAAAAAAAAATGTATTATACCTGTAAAATGAAAAATAATTATCAGTTACTGAAATATTAGTATAAATTATAAATAGTGTTTGCTATTGTTTTTTCTTATCGTTGGAATTTTAGTTATCGAGCCAATTTAACCGTTGTCCCAAAATGAAATAGTTATTAAAATGACTTAAAATCATGATTGAATTGCAATTTTAATTTTTTAAAGAACTCTGAAATAAAGTAGTGAAATTATGACAACTGTTTAAATATTTAAAATAGCAATGCAAATGTTCACAAAACAGCAATAAAACGAAATGGGATGATGAGCTAAAATGAACGGCAGTCAGATAACCAATTACCACTCGCTAATGATCTGCTGACCAAATAACCTCCCCTAAAATAGGCTAATTGGAAAATCAATTCCCAGATTACTACCTTTCCGTTTGGTGCTTGTTTGCTCTGTCAGTTTCATTATGCCCACAAATTACTAAATTGTCTTTCTTAAAGCTTTAGAAGAATCTTACATCGCATATTCTAAAGCACCCATTATTATTTGTTGATTTGTTAGAAAGGAAAATATAGGCAAACAAAAGTTTTCTATTGGTTTCTGTATTTGCTTAAAGTTTGCTTTCTCCAGATTAAAATTGATTCATAACATTCTTTATTAATCAATAACATATTATAAATATTTTTCTAAATATTGTTTTATTATTATTATTTTAGAATTTCACACTTCCTCTAACATAGCTGGGAATATTCACTTATGCGGATCTAGGTCAAGAGTTAGGCTCAAATTTTAGAATATGTTTAAAAAATTGCTGAGAATATTCGCCGTACAAAGAAAAACAGCTTTCTGCCCTTCTTCCAATACTTTTTCTGGCAGCTTCAACTTCTCAATAGAGCGGATGGTATCGTCTGGGATGAGGCCATTGCTGGAGATTACTACCGAAAATAGTAGTGTATAATTCAGTCTATAAAGTTGCCGAAGTTCCTGGCACAAGTCTTGGTACTACCATCGGTAGGGACAGCAATATGACTGCCGTAACCACTGTTTGTTATTCGGTCAAATAAGGCTATATCAGGTTTATTATTTATCGGTGCGATCGGTAATTATAGAACGATCCCAATATATTGTTTTATTTTTCCCAGATAGTAAATCTTTGGGCTCGTACCGATAATAAAGAACCTGGTGAGTAATCATGTTACCAAGCTAAGGCTTGGTGCACAATTTTGGTCAGGTTATTGTGCCTCATCAGGTATTCCTTATCTGCCAACGTGTGACATCCCGATGATATATGCTGGATTGATTCGGTTTCATTTTTACATAGGCCGATTTAGTTCCTGGATTGAACTAAATCGGGAACATATGGTACATTAAGGTCGTTATGGATGATTTTATTTGTGACAAAGTATGGAGTATTGAGGATTTTGGTTTGTAGGAATTAGATACGAGAGAAATTCGATGATTTAGCAGAGCTCCAAAGCTCGATCCCGCAAGTCCAAATAGGCCTTATTATAGTAATATATATAAGTCTTTTGAAAATTGTTGGACGTTTTGAGCGTTTTTCTAGTAAGCGCTGCAGTAGTCGAAAACTTCGGGCGGTTTCTAGTCGTTTTAGAATGGGTGTTCTCCGCACATACATTTCCTATAAGCATTAGTGGAAACTTCCTGATCCTGAATTGCCAAAATAAATCCTTCTGTTTCGGGAAATAAGTATACTTTTTTAAGCTAATTTATTGAAGCATTCTTGTTGATTCCCGATTGATAAATAGAAAGCGACCATGTAGTGCTTTATTTTTCCATCTCTTTTCCAGTATTTTTTTTTGTGCTCTATTGAAATCTAGTTTAAGGCGCTGTAGCCATCGTCCAATGACCTTATTGCTGACAATATAGGAGAGTTACAGTGTAGAAAACAGCATCTTAAATTATTTTCTTATTCTTTTATTATTATTACATAAACATGAAATTGGGCATAAAATTAAATTTGGGATCTGCAACTTTTGCAATGAGCAAATTTGTTTGGGAGTTTCACTGCGTCCCATCAGATATCCAGGGAATAGATCAGTTCAGCAGGACTCTTGGCCACCGCCTATGCAATCTTTGCGTTTAAGGATTATTTAAAAGAAATATCCATCTTTAGTTAATAACACAAAATTTCAATGGTTTAATTTTTTTTTTTTAAGTGTATCCTTCTTTAGGCGCTCTTTTAACTTTTTTTACTAACTACTTTCACTTAGTTACATATACGAGTGTGTATGTCTCAATTAGTCTCAATAGCCGTCAGACTCGTATATGTAACACTCATTTGGGTAAAGTTGGCTCGAATGAACTAATTGAAGTTTTTTTTTGGGGCATTTTGCTTAAAATATCTCACAAACTAAAAATCTGATCGCAATGTTCATTATTCCATCCTTTTTGTAATGAGGTATAATTCAAAAATGTATCTTAACGCGACCTCGTGTTAGAGAGACAAAATGAGAAATAGACAGTTTCGAAAACAAAATGATAACAAGTTTTGTAGAATATCTCAAGTTTTGTAGAAGATTAAGGTATCTCAGAAACTAATAATCGGGACTACGTACTGGAAGTGAAGGAAATTTTCAGCATTCTTTGGAATAAGATATAAACCAAATTTGAATTATGACGCTACGCCTATTTAGAGAACCAGAAAAGGAAAAAGGTAGCGCCAAAAAAATAATAAAATAATTACTGTTTTGAACATTTGAACTAAAATATCTCAAAATTTAAATATCATGAAGTATTCAGAAACCAATTTAAAGGAGTCAATATAAATATTTTTTTTAATTAGCTATGAAAATAACAAATTATGTGTTTCTTTTCGATTTTCTGTTGCACTCCATAGAGTTTCGACAAAGTACTCATCCCCGTTACAGGAATTATTTTGTAAAAAAAAAAAAATAGATACTCAGCGAATAGATTTCAATCAAAAATATTCATCCCTTCATATTTTAGTTATCATAAACCTGTGGTATCATTTTTAGTGTATAGTACAAATGACCATTTGTCAGAGCAAATTAGAGTAATTTATACACATTTATATACAATATAAATTTATTAATTTGTGAATATAGGACAAAAAATAGTTTATACACATTTTTTTTTCCTTTCTGTTGGCATTGCAGACCATGCAGATCTTTTGCCGCCTTAACAATCCTTCTCCATCTCTGCCTTTCTAAGGCTATTTCTTTCCATCTGCACGCAGCTCTGTTGCATCTTTGTTGATTCTATCTATCCATCTGCTTTTTGTCCTTCCAAGTGGTCCTTTGCCTTCTATTGAGGCATTCATTGTTACGTAGAGGATTCCAGGTGGATTGCTACGAGCTACATGCCCCACCCGTCTTAACCTCCGTGCCTTCATATCACAGGACATTGATTGACCAGTTTCTATAATAATTTCTTTCTTGATCTTTCTTCTCCATGTGTAAGCTATAAAACCTCCATGTGTAATAAGAGGTTTTATTAATAAATGAATGTAGATAGTGGGTTCATTGTTCTCATTAATGAAAGTTGATAATGAAATGAATACACCTAATAAGTCATAATATTTTTTATTTGGAACTATTACGGGTTATAAATCTAGTTTGATGTGCATAAATATTACTCTGTTTACTTAATGACTAGAGTGTGGGGAAGATTTTTTTTACTTTATGGATATCGTTTCTCATGATTAATAAAATATAGTGCGCCATTGGTATTATGTTATTTATTCATTATTATCCGAATTTTCGGCATCTCATTTCTACCATTTCTTCTCGCAACTCTTCGTTCTTTCTATCTGTTATTCTATTCCTTTCCATTTAAAGGGGATAAAATGATTCACACTAGCTGATTCCGTCCATCCGTATACGAAATATTCGTAGTACGAGATGTTGTTGGGAACTTACTAACTGAGGGAAATTATTCTCCGGAGAGTCCGGTTTCCTTGAACACGGTTTTCGAAGTTTCAGTAATATTTGATTGAAGTAAAATAAATATGCTACATATATTTGTTTTCAAGAAAGAGTAATACCTTAAAAGTTAGGGTACATTCCATCTAGCGTATTTGTATCCGGCCTGGACGGTTTAAAATTTATTTCGTGGCGGATGGAATGGACTTTATTTATCCACTGTGTTAATTAAATCTGCCCAATCATCATCCCTTCCTGTATCCCAGAAAAATATTATCTCGCACCTTTGCAGCCTTTCAGATTGTGTTAGTGTAAAAATGTATGTGATTGGAGTAGGCGTTTATGAAGTGTTTTTTGAAAAATAAATTTTTCCTCCCATGCCATTTTTTAGCATGTGTTCCCATTCAAGCTTTCTAACACCATTTAAGACCATCTGAGTTTAGTAAAAAGATAGATTTTTTTGTGAAATATACATTGTATCAGAGAAGGACCTTTTGGTATCTTAATATATTTTTCACTCACCGCTATTTTAAGGTGGTTCAAATCGGAAACAAATTATAAAATATTCAAAAACATTAAAGGAGAATGTAAAGTACAATTGATTTGCGAAATTCTATTTTCTTTTCTTGATTCAGTGTGAATGTGATCTCTGAACACTATTATAAATGTCCTTGAGACAGATTGTAATATTTTTCAATAAATAAGTTAAACAAAGTGTCTTAATTCAGCTCTAATAAAACAATTAAATCAGTTTTCAGTTGTTTTTTAAGCAAAAATGATAGAATATACGATCTTAGTGACGGAGTTCTGCTCTTCACTTTTTAAATTTTTTTTTTTTTGTTGAAAGATATTATTTTTCTAATGTTCCGTATTTATTATAAACTTAATAAAAATAATGAAAGGAAATAAAGCCGAAAGAAGTGAGACAAGGTTTGCTAATCCAAGACTGGAACTAGATAACTAAAGGAATAACGTTATCCTGCTCCAGTGCGGATGTGTGATGGTAACCGACTGAGGCACCAATACCAACACCGGCCAGGATGGCCTTCGCAGCAGCCCGGATGATCCTCAAGGACAAGAGGAGGAAGTCGTCCAAGGAAGATTTCGCCAGGAGTAAGTCGAAGGTAAAATTAGGTATCTAGTAACTATTATCTTTCATTCCTTCGAATCAGGCATTTAAAAGAAAAAAAAAATGTTTTCAATAAAGTGTGAAACAAAAGATTTTACGCTTCAACATCAATAAGGTGCAGTATAGATTCCTCACCTTAATAGGCTGAATTATTTTATTTTACAATTATTTTTTTTTAGTATCTTTTATACTTTTTATGACTAGCTTTAAGGCCTTAAAAGTTCTTTTTCAGCATGTTTGCATTTAAGGGAGTTAGCTACATTATTAACTATGTTTCAGGTTTATGTTTTGGTAGTTTAAGAAAACTGTACGAAAGGAGATGTTTTTGAAGTAGATTTCAATCGAGAAAAAACCATGCCTTCAAAAGAAATGAAGGAAATTTATTAAAGTCGATTTAACACTTGTAAGCGTTATCTAATACAGAAAGAGATCCAGTTTAAAAACTTATACTGAGTGTCCCAAAAGTAGAGCAAAATATTCAAAGGGCTGATAGCAGACATCAAGAGCTACAAAAAAGTTCATATAAACATCGGTCCGATTTTCGGCTGAAAAGTTAGAAATTTAAATTTTGTGTTGTTTTTTTATGTGTCGCATTTTTTGTTGAACCAGTAGCGGAAACTAAAAAAAAAATTAATGTAATTAATTAACAAATTCTCCTCACTAAACTCGGAAAAATTAAAAAATTTAGTGTCCGCTCTTGTGAAGAGAGTTTCATTATAACAGCTAAAACGGCCTAGTATTTTTAGTCATTTTTCTAGGTTAGTAATTTTTCTTCATGAAAACCGTTCTTTGTTTTGTTTTCTTATCTTGTTCCGATTCTGGCAAATGATTAATTTGTATGAGCGGGGTGGCCGAGCGGACTAACGAGTGTGCACAGCACAGCGCGTTTCCCGGCAACCTGATAAACGAAGTTGGAGACATAAAATAATTATGAGTTCTTTTAACTCTGGCAATTATCCCCCGACCTCACCCCTTGGCCCGCGAAAACCTCCGTGTAACATAAATGGCGAGGTAGAGAAGAACAAAAAAAAAAGATTAATTTTTTATTATAATATGGAAAGCTATACTCAAATATACAATTCCATAAGAAAAAACAACGCTGTTTAGAATAGATGATTAAAATGTTCAAGCTCCGTACTATATCTGAAAATAGTCTCAGTTTGGCTTAACTGCAAGACTTGGAGGGTCTGGTCTTGGTCTTGCAAAAATGCAAGACCAAGACCAAGACTCAAGACCGAGATCAATTTCGGGCAATACTACATCCGAAGCCTTGCTTCTTCCTCGATTCCTGATAATCCTCCTAGGGGTCTGAAAAGAAGATGGCCTTGTGATCATCATACATAGAATTAAATAGGGAGTGCTACCACTGGGTAGTATCTTTTCAAGTCTCTACATGTCATTCTTTCTAATGAGTGCATTTTCACTGGTTGTATTTTTTATAAAGTTGTAAATATCATTAAATAAATAATAATAATAATACATTACAGCCTCTGAATTAGTGGTAAGTTTTGTCATACTCATAAATTCGTTACCATAGTAACTTATGATTGATACATTTTTTAATTCATTTTATTTTATTGTACAATAGCGTGAATGTACAGTTTCATTATCGCCACAAGCCTGGACAATCCGTGGCTCTATCCAAACTGAGTAGAGAGATAAAAATAACTATTTCCAGGAAATAAATCTTGAACTGGAGACAACGCAGAAAGCGGGGTCCCTGTTTGAGATAAAACATCTCAAGGGTTCTCTCCAGGCAATCTAAATCCCTCAGTCTTTGTCTCCCAGCAACTAATCTCGATTCCATCCTCAGAATCGATAAATCGATAAAGAGAAAATATATATCTCTCATTTTAAAACCTAAATAAGATATTATTAAACATAAATGTGTATCAACAAATCGCAAATATTATGAGAGAAAAAATAAACTAAAGGAATAGTTTTAAAGTTTGTTAATTTACCTGAGGTCAAGTTAGTCTCCAGCGAGTTTTCCAGCACCGATGATTAATCTAACTTTTTAAAAAGTTATAATTGCTTTCAGGAATAGTCATCTTGTGTGACTTAGTAAAAAAAAAAGAAAAAATGTTTTCCCTGCCAGGACACGAAATTAGAAAAAGTCATAAAAAAAAGAAGAGAGAAAAAGCTCTTTTCTTCTTTTTTAATTTAACGAGAACATCTTTCAACTTTGATGAATACTCCTTGACAAATTGTCCAATTGATTTGATTATGATTGGTTTGCCCCTGGATTCTGCGAAACAATGTTTGTAAATTGTGTCAATTTTTTTTTATGTTGGAAATTACATAATTTTATCTACACTGTCCAACATTTATTACATATTCTAATATTTATTAGGAAAGTTTTTATTTCAATTTATTTACAATTTGTTCGATTACGCATACATCTACAGATTTATAATTTTGGTGATGGATTGATTAATTCATGAATTAATAGTTCTGGTAAAATAATAATTGTGAATTTAGTTTCAATTTTCATTAAGATTAAGACACCACAGAAGGCAGGGAGGGTCTTAGATGGAGGTTGACCTGGGACGACTACATACTGGGACCAATTTGAACCAACGCAGATTACTGTTCGATAGAGAAAGATTTTGCAATTTAGTAAGAAGGATGTTATGGTCAACTGTGTCAAACGCTTTGGAAAGTTTTGGTGTTCAATGGTGTTTTGGAGGTCATATGTTATTTTAAGGAGATTGCGTTGAATAGCCTCGTCGAAAGCCAGATTGGAATGGGTTGATAAGAGAACGTTCTTCTAGGAAGTCGGAGAGTTGATTTTGGACAAGGCGTTCTAACAGCTTTGACAGGCTGGATAGGAGAGAAATAGGAAACCGTGCAGTGAGGTAGGGTTGGAAATTTTATTCAAAGGTCGGACTAGAGCAGTTTTCCAGGATGGGGATATGGAGTTTTCAATGAAAAGTTGTAGATATACTAAAGAACAGCAATAAGGACATGAAGGCTGGATTTTATTAGTTTTACTGGGATGTTATCAGGACCTCAATCATTATTGTGGGATTTCAGGATAGTGAAATGTAATTAATCGTAGGACACATGGGAGAATAAGAAGTCTTCAGGATTGAAATTGTGAGTGAATGATAAGAAATGGTCATTGAGACCATCTGGAGTCACCGTATATATATATATATATTCAAATGGGAATATATATATATATATATATATATATATATATATATATATATATATATATATATATATATATATATATATATTCAAGGCGTTCAATGAAATAATTCAATAACTTAAGTATCAATAAAAAAAATGGATATTTCATACGTTAACATAATTGTTTTTATATAAATATTGTCGGATTTTTTATATAATGTTTTTAGTCATTTAACTTATTTTAGATAAAATTCTAAATGTTCAACGGAGAAGTTCATAACTATAATAATTACGGCGGCATAAGACAAAAAAAAAGAAATACTGAATTATATCCATCACTGGTGCGCTTACCCTAATAATTTTTTTTTTAAGGAAGTAAATATTTTTAGGTAATAACTTTTTTGCCATAAAATACACACTTTTGTTAAGATCACACAAGAATGCTATTATTTTTACGAAATATTTTTATTTATTTTAATAAGTGACCTCAAAATACAGATACGCCACTGAAGATTGCATTGAAATCGTGTCGAAGTTAACGATTATCGATTAAAACAGATATATCCAATTATAATCATAAGAAATTTAACATTTCATTTTATAGGAGGGTCCTCAAGTTATTTTCATAAATTTAAATCACTGAGAAGTTTGACGAATTTTCCATTTGTAATGCCATACAATTTTGTGCTTGTAAATATATTTGATATATTACATAGTTTGATTTGATCGTTTATGCATTATACTTAGTTTATGATTTATAATCAATTTGTGCATTTATATACACTTACCATGTTTCCTTATTCTTCAATTCACAAAAATATCTTAAAAATTCAGCTCCATTAATAAATCAATAATATGTACTTGACGTCACGATACTGTTCCTTTGTGCTTTACCAAAACCTGTAATATACATATATATATATATATATATATATATATATATATATATATATATATATATATATATATATATATATATATGTATATATATATATATATGTATATATATGTAATAAATAAACTAAATTTTATTGTAGGTAGTTTAATGAAAAGTTTTTAAAAAATAAGCAATGGGTGAATTTGTTTTTAAATAAATTGTAACCAATTATACACTTATCTGAATTAAACCGTTAATAATAATCATAGGAAATAGAAAAAGTTAAATACATTAATTTCTTTATTTAAAAATACTACAAAATAGCATTCCTTCTCCAGAAAAGATGATGAAAGAACACAAATTAAAGCTAACAAATGATGTAAAATAAAAACTCTTCATTACAATCTCAAATATTTGCACGGTGTCTGATTACCCCGAGGACCAAGCTCATTTTCAACTTATGTCAGCAAAGAAGCTTAAACTTTCATTCTTTCTTTTTTAAAATTTTTTTCTCATAAATTAAAAGTGTTGTAACAATGTTTAAATTAGGAATTTCGCAACTTGAGCAACTAATGTACGGAAAATAAGAAGAAATAATTATGCAGGCAAAGATATTTTATGTCTTATTATAGGGAAAAGACCGTTGATCGTCAAATTATTTTGATGATATATAATTTTATTGAATATTTTCTAAAACAAAAAATAACAATAATCTAGATTTTTTTATTATATCTATATCATTTATTCTTAATGGTGGAAAATTATAGCAGATAAAATTTCCAGGCCATACTATAACATTTTATTTTTCAACTTGTAAAGCAGTCAGTCATATATAATGTATTTTATCAGTTCTTCAAAATCTTTAATATCTACCCGCTAAGAGAAGAAAAGAGCTTACAGAGATTTAACACTTGGAGGAACTTCACCTATTAGTTCGTTCGACCTGAAACTCCATTCAAATCGTTTATCCTTGGAATCCAGGATGTTTTTCCTCTGGACCTGAGAGATCCTTGCCAAGAAGATAGAGGCATCTTGCCAAAACCAGCCCACTCAATAAGATGTGTCGTCACTTGGACAAGGGTTTGATGATGATTCTACTCATACTTGTAAATCTGTGTTGAAATCATCAAGAGCTCGACGAGCAGTTGATTGGGATGATGATAATAATTCATCATGATGGCTAGATCAGTTTGTTGAAGGGCATGAACTATACGTCTTCCAAAACCATTAGTGTTCAGATTATTTACAATAGATTGAATCAATATAGACTACGATCCGGGGTGCCCAGAAGGAGGATTGATTTGTTGCGCAAATTTATGAGGGGGAGGAGACCAATTTTGACGGGGTTTTTAATTTTAGAGAGGGGCACATTTCGACGGAATTTTTCAAAAGACAACTAGAACCATGGAACCAGGCTGGGTGTGTAATTGTATATAATCTACCAATATTTTTAAGAAGAAGACAGCAATAAACTATCTTGGCAGGGGTGGGAGAAGGTTATGAGCTATCGATCTTGAGGAGAATAAGCACTCCTGACTAAAATAAATTTTAAATTAGTATAAAAGATTTATTCAGGTAAATTACTATGAAGTGTTGGAACATATTTAATAAAAAAATATTTTCTAGTATTAAAGTATATCCAGATCTAATTGTCCTACATTTCTATATGTTTCATTTTAACCGTCGCCTGGCCGATTATTGTGGACTTATTATTTTAAAAACAAATAACACAAACTATAAAAAAAGTTTTTCGGAATAATTTTTATTTATTTTTTTAAAATATTTAATCCTTCGTTTAATGATTCCAAAACTCTTTTTATATACGTACCAAGAAGGCTGTGATATAGACGTGATGATATAGAGGAAGATGGTGATGTCGAGTTCTGAGGATTATGTTGTGATGAATGATCTGGTGGCGGATAAATGCATTCATTTTTTAATATTCTAAATCTATTTAAACTGAACAAAATAAAATATCTTTTTTTTTTTTATTGAATTATATTTGTTGGCAGTTTATTGAATAGGGCTACAAAAGTTTATTCGTACAATATATACCAAAAACAGGAAAAAAAAAAAGATTGAAAATTATAATTAAAAAAGTTATATAAATTTTCATATTAATCTGGACCTTAATTAAAAGTAAATTTCAATTTTTTTTTTACCAAATACATCGAGTGTAAACCGAAAATAAAAATTCAAATCCGTTACTGTAAAACATCCATTCTTGTCATTCCTATTAATCTGTAATACAGTTGACCGCGGAATTCAATCAAATAGTCGGTGGTCGTGGTTGGCGAATGTGAGTAAATAAAATGCAAATGTAAACAAATATTCGTGTTTCACTTAATTATATTTGGCCAATCTTCCCCTCATATCCTCCATCATCTCTTCTATTAAAGACTATATTAAAAAAAAAAACTACCAAAACACATTATAAATTTTAATTCTATTCTTACCATATCACAAATAAGACTTCAATGTAATAAAAAAAAATCCTTCTGGGTTGTAAGAGAACAAGGGTTCCTTATCGATTCTATTCCTAAATCGATTCCTAAAACAAGGAGAAGTGTCTTGAAGTCTTCCTTCAAAGTTCAAACTGGTTTGCAAGAAGGACTCATCAGTTCTGTTAAATCTAGCAATGTTATATATAAGAAATTCTCTCGAAAATCATTTTTCGTAAAATCCCAACAATTGGCAAACCCTCTTTTTAACAATTTTTTACCAGCCAAAATTCCAAAACGTTGGCAATA